TTGTTGTGTGTGTGTGTGTGAGAGTGTGTGTGTGAGTGTGTGTGTGTGTGTGTGTGCGTTTTACCCAGGCAGGCTGTTCTCTCTGGGTTGGTGGTGAAGCCGGTTTGGCAGTGGCACAGAAACGATCCCTCAGTGTTGATGCAGCGGCCGTCCTGACAAACTCCCTCCTGAACACACTCGTCCACATCTGGAAACACACACACAAACAACGCATGAGATCATCCCACGCAGAAGCCATCAGTAATAATGCTCAGTCTCACAACAGTTTTGCTCAGCTCTGGACGATTCAGATCGAGCTGAATTCACAGGAACAGGAAGACCGGATAACTGCGCATTGAAATTAGCTAAATTAATGAAAGTCACTCCATTATTGCCAAAACAAGTGTGCAAAAACATGTCTTGTTTCAAATGATCTCCGATTACAGGTTGCCTACAATACATGAGTGTGAATGTGCAGATGTTTCCCTTTATCACATTCTGCACAATTATTTCTTGATTTTATCTCACAGGGTGTGTGGTGGACGTGTTGAAAGCAGAAACGTTTACTTCAGACGTTTGACTAATGCAGTTCATCATTCCGTCAGAGAATTAAGGAACATTTCACTCTGGAGAGATTGAAACAACTCCAAATCTAAATTCAAGGTTGCTGAGAAAAGCGCCAGTCTTTTCCCCACAGGTTTAGTGAGGAACGGCAGCTTGATGTTGGCTGTGCATCACGTCTGGTGTCATACCTTGGCAGGACGTCCCGTTAGCGGCGGTCTTGTAGCCCTGCGCACAAACGCACTTAAAGGATCCGTCCGTGTTCACACACTCTCCGCTCGGGAAGCAGAAATCTCCTTCCAGACACTCGTTAATGTCTGAGCCAGACAGAAGTGTGTTAAAACAAACTCATATGTGACCCTGGACCACAAGACCAGTCATAAGGGTCAATTTGTTTAAATTGAGATTTATACATCATCTGGATGATGAATAAATGAGCTTTCCATCGATGTATGGTTTGTTAGGATCGGACAATATTTGAAAATCTGGAATCTGAGGGTGCAACAAAATCAAAATATTGAGAAAATCATCTTTAAAGTTGTTCAAATGAAGTTCTTAGCAATGCATATTACTAATCAAAAACTAGGTTTTGATATATTTACGGTAGGGAATTTACAAAATATCTTCAAGGAACACAATCTTTACTTAATATCCAAATGATTTTTGGCAAACAAGAAAAATGTATAATTTTGACCCATACAATGTATTGTTGGCTATTGCTACAAATATCCCCCAGCGACTCAACACTGCTTTTGTGCTGCAGGGACACATATTGCTTTGCTGGCTATTGCTACAAATATATCTGTGCTACTTATGACTGGTTTTGTGCTCCAGGGTTACATATGTGCATGTAAATACATGTAAATATTTTGAAAATATATGCATGCATGTGTTTGTATGTATATATACATAATATACACAGTACACACACATATATCATGTAAACAAAAACCATAATTTTGGATGCGATTAATCGCGATTAATGGTTTGACAGCACTACTCTGAACAGAAGACGAGTATAAAGCGGTAATATTTGTGCGTGCGTGTGTGTGTGTGTGTGTGTGTGTGAGTGCGTGTGTGTGTGTGTG